GCCGCCGCCGCCTCCGCCGCTCGCCGACCTCCCCGCCGCCACGGAGATGGACGGCTCGCAGCCGCGCCGACCGAACCGACGCGCGAGCCCCGCGAACGCGCCGCCGCCGCCNCCGCCGCCGCCGCTCTTAGGCGACCGCGACCCCCGCGACCCCCGCTCCCCCTTCTCCGCGCCCTTCTCGCGCCCTCGCGCCCTCGCCGCCATCGTCGCCGCGGACGCGACGGACGCGAACGACACCTTCCCCGGGGTGATGATCGAGTGCCACAGCAGCGCGTCCGCCATCGTCTCGTGCGCGGTCCACCGCTCCGGGAGGGTGACGCACGAGCGCGGGGAGGAGAGAAAATCGCGCAAGAGCTCGCGCAGGAGCGCGTCGTGCGTCGACAACATCGCGTGCCGCGCGCCTTCCATCTGCGCCACGAGCGCGACGTTCATACCGAGCTCCGCGATGCGCTGCCCGGCGTCGCCGGTGATGTGCGGCCGGTTCGAGGCGTCGCGCGAGAGGAGGCGGACGACGTTCTCGGAGACGCTGCCGCGTCGGCCGAAGAATTGGTCCTCGCTGCCGTTGACGCACAGCGTCGGGATGTCGCGGCGCCAGCGGCTTCCGAACACCCCCGTCGCCGCGTTCGCTTCGTTGTTCCTCTGGCTGGCCGTCGTCGTCGTCGTCGCGCCGCCGCCGCCGCCGTCGTTCTCGCTGCACCGCGCGGACCGCCCGCCGTGCGACGAGACGTCCTCGTCCGTCGCCGTCGTCGCCAGACTCGCGCGCGAGTCCCCCGCCGCGCTCGCCGCGCTCGCGTCGTCGTCGCCGTCGCCGCCGCCGCCGCCGCCGGAGAGCTCCAAGTCGCCGCGCGACGACCCGCCGCCCGCCATCCCGGCCAGCGACCGCGAGCTCGGGGTCCCCGGAAACGACAGGTCAGACTCCCCCGTGCGCACGCGCTTCAGCGTGTGGTAGGTGAAGTAGTTGGGCTCGAGCGAGTACGCGATGTTGACCCTGCCGAGCAGCGCGTCTCGGTCGTCGTCCTCGCGGTCGTCCGGCCGCCACGATTTGTCGTCCATCATCCCGAGCACGACCGCGCCTTCGCTGTTTCCCGCCAAAAATATCCCCCGGGACGCGACGCGCTCGGGAAGCTGCGTCAGCAGCGACGTCAGCGCCGCGTGTTTCACCTTGAGCGTCGTGTCGTACACCAACGCCAGGCGGTCGCTGCTCGCGAACTGCTCGGCGCAGGACTGGTACACTAACGTCCCAGACGCGGGCGTTTTCGCGGCGTACAGCAAGTTTTGCTCCCAGTACCCGTTCGGTTCGTCGCGCGACACCGACCGCGGCGGCCGCGAGCGCAGACGCGTCGGCCAGCCGGCGAAGTCGTCGGGGCTCATCGCGACGTGGCCGAGCGACGCGAACACGCGCAGGTACCGAAGCGAATCCCCCGCGACGCCGCCGCTGCCGGCGAGGAAAAACACCGCGGGCTTCGCGTCGCCGTGGACGCTCACGGCGTCGTCTAACGCCGCGATCGCGTGGAATGCCTCCATCCCGAGTCCGGGCTCGGGCTCGGGCTCAGACTCCCCCGTCTCGCCCGTCGTCGTCGTCGTCGTCGTCGTCGTCGCGCCAACCTTCGCCGCGAGTCTCCGGAGCTCCGCCCCGAGCTCGCGCGCGCGTCCGATCCACAGCGTCTTCTTCCCTCTTCTCTCCGCGCCGCCGCCGCCGCCGGACTCGTTCGCGGTGTCGTCCACGTCCACGTCGTCGTCGACGCGCAGCGGCGGCGGCGGCGGCGGACTCGGCGCGTGCTCCGGCACCGACGCCGCGGGCTTCCTCGTCGGCGGCGGCGTCCCCGGCGGGGACGCGAGGATCGCCTCCGGCGGCGGCGACGTCTCCGCGGCGTCCCCGGAGACGTTCGGGACGAGGCCTGGGATCGCGCGGACGTACGCCTCGGGGAGGCACATCACCATGAACTCGTGGACGTTATCCTGCGCGGGAAGGGGATGACGCGACGGGTTGAGCGTCGGAAGGGACGGGACGGGACGGGACGGGTGGATTATCGCGAACGGGGGGGCGATTCGCTTTCCGCCTCGACGCGTCGCGCGACGACGCCAGGGTGGGTTCCGCGTCGAGCGCACCGTGACGTGCGCGAGTTCCTCCGGGGTGATGACGAGATCCGGGAACATCGGCATCAGCTCCGCGAGCGGCGGCGCGTCCACGCCGCGCGGCGGCGAGGGCGCCGCCATGCTTCGCGCGCCCCCGTCGCGTCGAACAGAACTTTTTAGCGCGGGCGAGGTGCCTAGCTAGCTATGATAGCGAAATGCGGAGTATCCGAGCGCTCGGCGAACGCCCCCGCCCGAACGACCCCGACGCCGCGGTCCCGGCCGCCGCGCGAGTCCGCGCGCGCGATGTGCGCGCCGAGGGTCGCGACTCGCTTCGCGCTCGCCCCCGCGGTCCTCTCGCCCCCGTCGCCTTCGCGCGAGCGAAGGTCTGCGGGGTGGAATATTTTCACGGCGCGCTTTTTTCTTTTCTCCAGCCGTCGTCCGCCAACGAAATCCGAGTACACGTCACCGTCGCGTCGCGCGCCCTATCCGGTAGGCGCGCACACGCGACCGCGCGCCGCGCGCGAGAACGACCGCGCGAGGACAGGACCCGTCCCCCTCGAGACTTCACGATGAATGCTCTCGTCGCGCCGTCGACGACGCGCGTCGCGGCGCGCGTCGCGTCGCCCGCGTCGCGCGCGCGTCGAAACCCTCGTGCCGCCGCGGTCGGGCGGTCGGCAACGAGACGATCGTCGATCGCGACGGCGTCCGCGTCCGCCTCCTCCTCCCCCTCCTCCTCGGGCGACCGCGGCCGCCGCGCCGTCCTGAGCGACGCCGCGCTCGCGGCGATCCTCGCGAACGTCTCCGTCGGGACGCGCGCCGCGCGCGCGGGCGACGATAAGATGGTCGGCGCGTATCTCCCCGAGGACGCGACCGTCCCCGGGTTTTACGACTTCACGCCCGACGCGAAGCGCACGCCCGCGCTGCGCGCGGACGCGCTCGGGATCTACCACATCGCGCTCCCGCCGACGTGGAAAGAAGCCCCGGTGTCGAACGCGCGGAGCGGGAACTACTGCCAGCCGCGGTGCGACGAGGCGACGACGGAGGTGCAGTTCGTCGACCCGACCGCCGGCTCGGTCCAGATAATCATCATCCCGACGACCAAGCTCCTGATCGCGAAGAACGAGCCGTCAATCGAGGACGTCGGCGAGTTGAACGGGCTGATCAACGCGATCAGCCCGTCGATCACCGGGTCCGTCGCGGTCGAGCCGGAGGAGATCGTCTCCGCGGAGGAGGTGAAGCACGAGGGGAAGACGTATTACGCGTACGAGTTGCTCACGCCGTTCGCGGAGTTCGGGCTGCACAACGTCGCGAAGGTGTCGACGTCGAAAAATTACGTCGTCATCGCTGCGCTGGCGGCGAGCGAGAAGCAGTGGGGGAAATCCGAGGCGGACTGCAAGAAGATTCTGGACTCGTTCCGGGTGAACGTCTGACGCGGTGCGTAAGTTATCGTACCTGTACGTGTAGCCCGAAAAAAGATAGAGTTGTACAACTACCACCGCAAGAAAAGAAGAAGTCGTCGTCGTCGAGTTCGTTCGTTCGTTCGTTCGTTCTCGTCTTCGCACTTCGCACGCGCTTCCTCGCTACGCTATCTACCCCCGCTCGCGCGCGCCGCACCTTATCTCATCACTTCTCCTTCGACTTCCCCCCGTCGTTCTTCTTCTTCGGAAACACCCCTCCCACGGCGGCGGAAAACGCCGACTTGGCGGCAAACTTGCCGACGTTTCCAGCCACCTTGCCGATCACCGGCGCCGCGCGCTTCACGACCTCTATCCCCGCGTCCGCGGTCAACTTGACGCCCTTTTGCACCGTCGGGTTCTTCGCCACCTTCTCCGCCTCGGACGCCACCTTCCACGCCGCCTGCGCCGTCGACGGGCGCTCGCGTTCGATGGAATCCAAGCCGCGATCGACCGCCTCGAGCGTCCAGCCGACGATGCCGTCCTTCTCCTTGCCGCCGCGCGACGTTCTGGCGCCGTTCCTCCGCGCGAGCCGCTCCTCCGCGGCGTCGACGTCGTCGGCGAGGTCCTCCGCGGTCGCGAGGAGCGCGGCTTTGCTCGAGATGACCGTCGGCGCGACGACCGGGGCGCCGGCGGGGCGGCGTCTCGCGGGGGGCGTCGGATTGGGAGGATTCGGACGCGACGGCGTCGCCGCGGGCGGCGTCGCCGCGTCGGTGCCCATGCTGCCCGGGATGGACTGCGACGGCTCGTCCTCGCCGCGCGCGGCGTCGAAAATGGAGACCGCGCGCGGCGTCACCGGCCCCGCGCGAGACGCGCGCCGCGCCGGACCCCGCGTTCGCGCGGCGCGAGGCGCGCGTCCGCCGACGCCACCTCCTCCTCCTCGAACCGCCGCCCGCGACGACGATCCGCGCGGGAGCGTCGCGCCGCGCGGGGACGCGGCGGCGGCGGCGGCGGCGAGCATGACCGCTCGCGACGTGGGTGCTTGCTCCGACGAACGGCCTTTCGCGCCGCGGTCGCGCGCGAGAGACGCTCTCGGTCGCGCCGCGCGCGTCCTCTGGCGCGCGCGATCGTCCGCGCCGGCGCGTCGTTATCTCCCGCCCAGCCGAGCTGGCCGTATCTTCGCGCGGAACGTGCGACGCTCGTGCCTCCGACGGTTTGTTTGAACGTCGGTTTGTTTGAACGTCCTGTCGAGTCGGCTCCGTCCGGGGTACACGGCCGACTCGACCCCGGATGAACGAACCAACGAACGCCTCTTCTGCGCGCTCGCGTCGATCCGAACTACACGTATCTATCCTCCCCGTCCTCGCTGTCGCTCTGCTCGAGCTCTAAGGCGACGTGCCGCCGCGCCGAGGCCCCCCCGCTGTCGTCGCCGCCCGCGCCCGCGCCCGCGGCGGCGGCGGCGCGCGCGACGGCGGCTGCGGCGGCGGACGCTCTGGCCGCCGCCTCGACGCGAATCGACGCGTCGAAGTAATCGTGCGGCCACTTCAGGTCCTCCAGGTCCGCGGAGCAGCGAGGATTCGTCGCGGCCGCCGCCTCCTCCGCCGTCGCCGCCGCGCGCTCGCCGCCGCCGTCGCCGCCGCCGCCGCCGTCGCCGTCCGCGCCGCACCCCTCGCACCCGCCGCCGCCGCCGTGCGTCGCCTTAAACAGACGCGCGCAGGCCGCCCTCGGCGCGCCGCCCTCCGCCGCGGACGCGACGTGCTCCACCAGATCCGCCGGGATCAGCTCCGCGAGCTCCGCGCGCAGCGCCATCGCGCCCCGGTGCCGCGCGTCGAGCCCCCTCACCGCGGCGAACGGGCACGCGGCGGCGGCGCCGTCGCCGCCGGCGCCGCCCCTCGACAACTTCTCGCACGTGTGCGGCGGGTAGTCCGCCATCTTCCCTTCTAACCCGTACGCGTGACGCACCGCGTACGTGTGCTCGCGCTGGTAGTCGCTCATGCGCCCGTGCGGGAACTGCGCGCGCCAGATCGCGAGCGTCTCGTCCGCGGTCACGTCGACGCCCTTCAGGAAGAGCGTGAGCTGAGGGTAATTGTCCATACGAAGCGACCGACGTCGGGGCGGAGTTCGGGGGCGCGTCAGTCGGAGTCACGAGGCGACGCGGCGCGTCGGGATTGAAACCGAGGGACCCTGGGCGGAGAGAGACGACCACCGGGAGAGAAAGTCCTTCAGGAATGAAGTTCACGACGCCGACGCGGTCGTATGGGAACCGGTGCGAGATGATAGGCCCACGCGCCTGAAACCGCGCGTCGTGCTTCAGGTGCCTGTCCGCGCGCAAGTCTCGGAGGTGCCGACGCATGCAGAGCGGGAACGGGCGGCCGGTCGCGCCGTCGACGCCGCGCTTGAGCGCTCGCAGGACGCGCTTCGCGTCCGCGCCGAGCTCGGTGAAGTACGCGGTGGTCGGGAGGCGGTTGAACGCGTCCGCCGTGGCGCCGGCGCGGGCGAAATCGAAATCCTCCGCGAGCGAACTCGCCGCCGTCGCGCCGCCGCCGTCTCTCCGCTTCCGCCACCCGCGCCTCCACACCCCGCGCCCAGTCCCGGCGCTCGCGTCGGATCCTCCCCATCCTCTTCCCCCTCCTCCTCCCGACGTCGACGCGTGAAGCGCTTCCGCGCGCGCGTCGCCGTCGCGTCGATCGCCCTCGCGCCGCGCCGCGACGCCGCCGAGGTACGCGTCGAGCTCCTCCCGTCCCGGTCGCCACGCCGCGAGTTTCCTCAGCAGCGGCTCCAGCCCCGGAGAAACGCCACCACCGCTACCGTTACAATCGTTACCACCACCACCCCTCGACGCTCTCATGAACTCGAGCCGCCGCGCGGTCACCTCGAGCTCGCGCCGCAGCCTCGCGTCGGCGTCGTCGACGGCGACGACGCTCAACGCGTCCGTCGGCACCGCGCACCACCCGCGCGCCACCTCCACCACGCGTCTCCGAAGCAGCGAGCGCGCGCGTTCGAAGGGCACCCATCGATGCCCGGGCCGCGGCGGCGGCGGCGCGACGGTTGACGTTTCATCTTCCGTCGCGCCGAGCTCGAGCTCGAGCTCGCCCAGACGCAACCTCGCGGCGAAGAGCGCCGTCTCTTGCGTCGCGAGCCATCGCCGCGTCGAGGGTCGCTCGCAGAAGGCGAGCCGGCACGCGGCGACGCTCGCGCGCTCGCGCCTGGACGCGGCCGCGCGCGCGGCGGCGGTGTCGTCGGGGTCGGCGTAGAACAGCCCTTTCGCCGCGGCGTCGAGCGATGCCTGCGCGAGGGACGGGGGGGGACCGGGGTGATGGATGACGAGACGCGTCGAACCGATCGACGCGCGAAAGAAATATGGGCACCCGAGACGCGACGCGCGCGGGGACGATCCGCGAGACGGGAGCGAGGGGAACGGGAGCCGCGCGCACGTGGTCGTCGCCTCGGGACAGGAACGTCGCGTCGAGTCGGTGCAGAACGCGCAGTCTCGCCTGCGGGAGTCGTCGAGGGGAGGGGAGGGGAGGGATGAGGCCGGCCGGCGCGGGGGAGGTCGAGGAACCGCTCTCTGGCGCGTCCGTCGATCGATTCGATTTCCTCGGACGCGACGACGACGACGACGACGACGACCACGGACGACGCGCGACTGACCTTCGCGAGATCCTCCAGCTCCTCGAGGTCGCACTCGCCGTCCGACGCCATCGTTCCGCGCGCGCGCGCGGGTTCGCGTCGACGCGAGCCCGCCGCTCCGCCCCCCCCCGGCCCCGCGCCGGCGACTGTGGACGTCTTTTTGGTCGTTGGAAGCTCGCTGATGACTTCGTCGGCCGTTACGAGAGCGAGAGTCAACATCAACGAACACGAACACTCTGCATGGCACGGGTCCGCGAGGGCGCCGGCGCACCGCCGGTCGCGGCGTCCACCTCGGCGGCGACGCGGACGCCGTCGCGACGAAGCGCGACCGGCGGCGACGCCTCGCGGCGGCGCTCCGCCTCCGCGTCGCCGTCCGCGTCGCCGTCCGAGGACGAGGCGCGCGATGATGCGTCCGCGTCCCGGTCCGCGACGACGCCGAACGCGAACGCGTCGTCGTCGCGCGCGGGCGCCGTAGCCTCCTCCTCGCGAGCGCGCGCGACGACGCCGTCGTCCGCGTCGCCCGCGAACGTCCGAAGCGTCTTCGGCGCCGCGCTCGTCGCGAAGGCGACGACGTCCGCGAAGAAGAAGCCGCCGCTCTCGACGACGACGCCGTCGTCGCGCGACCGCGAGGCGACGGTCAGCGCAAAGATGGCCGCGTCGTCGTCCAAGCGCGCGGCGTACGGCGACGCCCTCCGCGCGCGCTGGCGCCGCGCCGCCGTCCTTCGCGCCGCCGCCGGCGACGACAAAGACAAAGAGAACGCGACGCCGTCGTCGTCGGCGCGCGCGTTCGACGACGCAAACCCCGCGCGCGAGGTGGACGCGGAGGACGAGTGGACGAACTCCTCGGACGACGACGACGACGACGGATCGATCCACCGGCGGCCGCGGCGGTGGGACGGCGAGGTCGCGAGCGCGGACGCGGCGCTCGCGCGCGGCGACCTCGACGTCGCGACGAAGCACCTGCTCACGGCGATCGCGCTCGCGCGCGTGCAGCGAACGATCGCGAGCGCGACGACGACGACGGCGACGACGACGACGACGACGGGCGCCCCGCCCCGACGGGGAACGTACCATACACTGGTCCCCGTACGACCGCGTCGGCGTGGTGAACGCCGATCCTTAAGGACTTTTCCCGGCGCGTCTCTCCGCCCAGGGTCCCTCGCTTTCAATCCCGATACACCTCGATGCCTTTCAACTCCGTCTGACGCCTTTCAACTCCACCCCGACAGCAGGAATGTCCCCGAAGACGGCGCGCGCGGAGTGCGCGCTTCGAACGCGGCTCGCGGAGGCGTACCTCGACGGCGCGGATAACGCCGTCGACGACGACGCGGACGAGCTCCGCGACGCCGCGGTGGCGCAGCTCCGCGCCGCGGTCGACGCCGCGGCGCCGTGCGCGGCGTCGCGCGCGGCGCCGCCCGCGACGCGACGTGCGATGGAGAGCGCGAGGAACGACGCGAGACTGGCGCTCGTGAAGGCGTTGGGTGCGTCCTACTATATCCCATCTCGCGTTGGTCCCCATACGACCGCGTCGGCGTGGTGCACGCCTGTTTCTTAAGGACAGGACTTTCTCTCCTGGCGTTTCATATCTCCGCCCGCCCGCCCCTCGCTCGCGATCCCGACGCGCCGGGAAAAGTCCTTAAGGATCGGCGTTCACCACGCGAACGGGGTCGTATGGGGACCAGTGTGGGGACCAACGCGACTCCGACTGACGCGCCCAATCGACCGTCCACCGTCAGAGAGCCGGGGCGAACGCGCGGAAGCCGCCGTCGTCGCGCGCGAGGGGCTCGCGTCGCTGACGTCGAGCGAGGAAACGACGCGCGAGGACGGAAGCTTCGACGAGCTGCACGCGGAAGAGCGCCTCGCCGCGCTCGTGACGCTCTGTCTCCACGAGGCGGACGACGCGTTGGCCAGCGCGAAGGCGTCGTCGCGGCGACTCGCGAGCGTCGCGAGGGAAAAACGCGCCGTCGCCGCCGCGATCGAGTCCGACCGCGCCGCGATGGTGAAGCGCACGTTTAAAGCGCACGCCGACCCGGAGGCGATGTACGCCGCGAGCGGCGCGTTCGCGACGGAAGCCGCGGCTCGGATCGCGCCGGTGGAGGCGCGAAGGAAGCGAAGAGAGGAGGAGACGTCGCGCGCGTACGACGAAGCGAGGGCGACGCTCGACGACGCGCGCGTTCGCGTCGCCGCGCACGTCGCGCGGACGGCCGACGAGAGAGACGGCGTGAGCAGCTCCGGCGGCGGCGTGCGCGGCGTACCCGCGCGTCTCCTTGCTCAGGTGCTCCTGCGCTCGACGATGGCCGCGCGAGGCGCGAAGGACTGGAAGACGGCGGCGGAGCACGTCGACGCGTTGCTGTCGCTGAGGCGCGTTGGTCCCCACACTGGTTCCCATACGACCGCGTTCGCGTGGTGAACGCCGATCCTTAAGGACTTTTCCCGGCGCGTCTATCTCGTCGCCCACCCCTCGCTTTCAATACCCGCCATCGACGCCTTTCAACTCCAGCTGACGCCTTTCAACTCCACCCCGACAACGACCCTCAGCGACGCCAACGACGGGGGACTCCCCGGGACGTCGCACCCGCGGCGCGCGCGCGGGCCGCTGCTCAGCGAGCGCGCGGAGCTTCTCGCGCGCGCGGGCGACTGCGACGCCGCGATAGAGTGCGCGAAGGCGGCCGTCGACGCGCACGAGCTCGAGGCGGGCGTCAAGGGCGTGTCGAAGGCGTCGACGCGCGCCGCGCGGACGCTCGCCTTCGCGCACAAAAAAAACGGAGACGAAGGCGCGTCCCGTCTCGCGCCGGTCCCCGCACGACGCGGACTAGACTGGTCCCCATACGACCGCGGCGGCGTGGTGAACGCCGATCCTTGAGAACTTTTCCCGGCGCACGCATCTCTCCGCCCAGGGTCCCTCGCTTTCGATCCCGACGCGCCTCGACGCCTTGCCTTTCAACTCCGCTTCTGACGCCTTTCAACTCCACCCCGACGTTCGCTCGTATCGACGGAACGACCCGAAGCCGCCGCGGCGCGCGCGCTCGAGGAGGCGGCGAACAAAGCGACGCGCGCGCGCGTCTTCGAGGACGACCCGACGGGGATGGCGGAGCTGCAGAGCGCGTGGGGCGCCGCGTGCGTGGACGCCGCGGGCGAGGCGACGGTGTACGGCGACGACGCGTCGACGGAGGCGGGCGGGCCGTGTTTGACGGCGATCGTTTTTTTGACGCGCGCGACGGAGTGCTTCGGACGCGCGGCGGAGTTAGTCGGCGACGCGAAGGGGAAGGCGTCGAGCGAGTACGCGGCGGCGACGCGCAGGGCGAGGGCGTCGAGAAGGGCGCTGGCGGACGCGATGAAGCTGAATTAATAGCGGTGTGGCACGGTCGTAACGGTAGTGTGCAGTGCGTTCACGCGTTCATATACACTACAGTTGGACGAAAGTAGATCTCGACTCCCTCCCTCTCGATCGGCGCCTTACGCGCCGATGGCGTTGATGTGGTGCCCCCACGCCAGCCCCGTCGTGAGAAGCCCGAACACCAGGAACGGCTGCGCGCTCGCCTGGTACTTCACGTCGTTCTTCACCGGATCCGGCAGGAAAAACTTAAACTGGAAGAAAATCTGCGGAAAGATGAGCGCGAGCAGCGCGTTGCTGTACCCGACCTCTCCGATGGTCCTCAGGTACCCCGCGACGGCGAGCTGCGTCGCGTCGATGCTTCCGACGCAGATCCACTTCGCCTTCTCCACCCCGAACGCGACCGGCAACGACATCAGCCCGCACTGGCGATCGCCCTCGATCGACTTGAAGTCGTTCACGATCGCGATGCCGAGCCCGGCGATGGAGTACAGCACCGTGAGCACCATGACGTCCAACGAGAGCTCGCCGAACACCGCCTGCCCGGCCCACCACGGGAGCGCGATGTAACTCGCGCCCAACGCGTAGTTCCCTCTCCACCCCTCCTGCTTCAGCTTCAGCGGCGGCGCGCTGTAGATGTACGAGACCCAGGAGCCGAAGAGGACGAGGACGGTGACGACGGGCCAGTCGTGCTCGCACCACTGGTCCAGCGTCCACGCCGCGGCCCAGCCGCCGAGGAGCAACGCGTACATCTGCACTTGGACGTCGAACTCGCTGATGGCGCCGGACGGGATCGGGCGGTTCGGCTCGTTGATGGCGTCGATCTCGCGGTCGTACCAGTCGTTGATCGTCTGCGTGTATCCCGTGAGGAGCGGGCCGGACATGAACATGCAGAGCATGGACTTGCCAACGTTCTCGAACGTCCACGTGAAGTGCCCGGACGCGGCGGCGCCGCAGAGGACGCCCCAGATCAGCGGCACCCACGTCACCGGCTTGGTGAGCTGCAGCCGGATCTTCCAGATGTCCGTCGTCTGCTCTCCGCCGCGGATGCCGAGGAGCTGCCGGATGTTCGACCCGGACTCCTCGTTCTCCTCGCCCGCCTTCTTCGCCGCCTCGCCGTCGGGCGAGGCGCGGACGACGAACGACGAGCGCTTGGACGACGACACGGGCGTCGGGACGAAGCCCCCGGACGAGACCGGGCTCGACATCGACGCCGCGTCGCGCTCCACGGATCGATCGATCCGCGCGACGATCGCGGTCGGCCGCGCGACGCGGCGCGCCGAGCTCGCGCTCGCGCGCGCGGGCGCGCGAAGGCTCATGCGAGTGCTCATCCCGAGCGCCATGGATGCGGCCATGGATATCGCCGTGCGACGGTGCGTCGTACGATGCCGCGCCGACGGCGCCGGAACGCGAGGATAAAAGGCGGATAGAAGATCTTCCGGAGGCACATCGCGCCGACACTTGGCCAAAGGCTTGGCACTGCGTACACTATTGTCGGCGCGTCGGGTCCGACTGCGCTCGCTATCGCTACGGCGCCTTTCATCCTATTCAATCCTCGAGCTCCGCCATCATCCGCGCGTACTCGTCGTCCACGACCTCCTCCGCGATCTCCGGCTCGTCCGACGCGCGCGGCGGCGGCGCGTCGGACGTCCCCGCGTCGCCGCCGCCGCCGCCGCCGCGCGCCAGCTGTGTCGTCCCCGCTTTTTTCCGCGCCGCCTTACTCTCTCTCTCGCGCGTCAGCGTTCGTCGCATGAGCGCGACGCCGTTCGCGACCGACGCCGCGGCGGCGATCCCCGCGCCGTACACGCCCGACAGCGCGAGCCCGGCGTCTATCGCGGCGGTGCTCGGGATCAAGACGTCCTCGGGGGGAATCGAAGCGGGCGCGGCGGGCGACGCGGTCGGCGCCGCCGCCGGGAACGCGGGCGCGACGGGCCGTAAGTGCTCCGGCATCGACCCGGGCGCCCACCCGGGGCCGACGGGCGCGATCGGTGCGACCGGCGGCGGGACCCCCGGGCGGTGGTGGGGTCTCGCCGACGCCGCGACTCCCGAGCCGCCGCCGCCGCCGCCGCTCCCGTCGCGCCCCGGGACCCCCGCGCCTTTCCCCAGGTTATCCGTCAGCTCGGACAGGAAACTCTCGTACTCGTCGTCCATCCCAGCCCCGCCGCCGGCTGTGCCGCCGCCGCCGTTCTCCCTCCGCAGCTTCTCCGCGACGTCCTTCTCGTACATGGCGTCCACCCGGCGCTTCACGTCCCCGGTCAACGCGTACGCGTTCTTTTCCTCCTCCTCCTCCCGCAACCGCTCCTGCGCGGCTCTCGAGCTGAAATTCAGCAGCGTCCCGTTGATCTCCGCGAGCTCCGCGAGCTGCCGCTGCTTGTGCACGTTGTGCTGCTCGTCCAGCGGCGTCAGCAGCGGGTGAATGAGCCGCGCGGCGCGGTCGACTGCGAGCCGTTCCGTACAAAAAAAGTGCATGCACCGGTCAGTTGAAAGGAGACGCGATCAAATGTTGAAACCGGGCGGTGGGTGAATATCGTTGATTTTGCTCAGAACAGGACGCACCTTTTTCGATCGTGTCGGCGGTGATGTACACGTGGAGCTCGTCGTCCATCCCCGCGGCGTTTTGGAACGTCGCCTTCCTCCCCTGCTTCTCGCTGCCTCTGCCTCTCACCGCGATGCGCGCGCCGGTGTACTCCTCGAGCATCTTCTGCGTGTTGCCTCTCGGGCCGATGATCAGACCGATGAAGTTGTATCCCGGGACGTTTTTCGGCAGGTACAGGCGAAGCTCCTTCACGAGCGGTCGGTGGCCGTTCGGGGGTTTGAACGTCGGGTCGCACTGGAGCAGCTCCTGGACGCACTCGCGGCGCTCTTGCTCCCACGCGTCCCACGCGCGCTGCTCGCGCGTGTTCGTGCGCTGGCCCGTCGTCGCGTCGTATTCGGGCGGCGGCGACGGCGACCGGCGGCGGCGGCGCTTCCCGTTTTCGTCGCGTTCGCACATCTCGTCTTCGTCGTCGTCTTCGTCTTCGTCGTCGTCTTCGTCGTCGTCCCATCGACTCGGCGGAACCACGATCGGCGTCGCGTCCATCTTCCCCGAGAGCTGATCGATCCTCATCCTGTACGCCAGCGCTCGTCCTCGCGACGCTTCGGGCTCGTCCGCGTGGCACGCCCCCCACGCGGATCCCTCCCGTCGCGCGCGCTTCGCGTTGAGATGCGCCTCGCGATATTGCGCGAACGTCAGCGAGTGCACCTGGTGCGCCTGCGGGCGCATCGCGACGAGCGCGCCGTTGACCCTGTTATTCGTCGCGCCCACGGTGACGAGCGCGCGGTCGCCGCTTTCGGCGGCGGCGTCGTGAGGCGCGTCCGCGAGCGCGAGCGCGCCGCCCGCCGCGGCCGCGCCGGCGCCGACGACGCCTCCGCCCTGGAGGTAGTTGGCGAGCCGCGCGCCGTGCGGGGCGCGATGCCGCGACGTGATCCCGTGGTCTTCGCTCACCTTCGCCGCGGCCGCGCGCGCTTTCGCGGCGACCATCGCGGCGATGTCCATGACGCGCGAGGGTGGGGACGTCGCCTGCCCCGTGCCCTGCCGCGTTCCTCCTCGCGCGCGGATCGAGTGGCTCGCCTCACGCAGATCCTGTCGTCGTCAAATTCGTCGAGTTTATTTTTTCTCGTCCTCGTCTCGCAGACGCCATTGCCGCGGACGCGACGTTCGCGCGATGGGCGTGACCATCGTCGAGGGCGAGAAGCGCAACCTCGGGTCGAAAGCCCGAAGGGCGCTGAAACTCGCGCGCGCGGGGAAGGCGCCGCCGGCGACGGCGAAAGCCCCGACCGCGGCGCCGAAACGCGGCGGCGATGGCGGCGACGGCGACGACGGCGGTCATCGCGCTCGCGGAGGCTTCGTCGCGGGCGGAACCCCGCGCGACCTCAGCGCGGTGGACTGGAACGCGGTCCAGGGCTGGAGCAAGGTGAAGTACGACCCGAACCGCTTGATCTTCGGCGCGAGCGAGGAGGGGTTCGTGGAGCTCGAGGAGATCGACATGTCGGACGTCTTCGTCGACGGGCTCGGCGGCGGCGAGCTCGTCGAGACTGCTGAGATGTTGCCTCCGTCGTCGTCGGACGGCGGCGGCGGGCGCGGTCTCGACGCGCGCGGCGGCGAGGCCGCGGACGCGCGCGCGGCGAAGAAGACGCCGAGCGGCGAGGGCGAGCGCGCGGACGCGGCGGCGAAGAAGAAGCCGAAGAAGAAGCCGGCGAAGGAGGCGCGCGTCGTCGACGACGGCGGCGGCGGCGCGGAGGCGGCGACGCCGCTCAGCGCGAAGGAGCAGAAGATCGCGAAGAGGAAAGCGCGGTGGATGGCCAAGGTGGAGGAAGCGAAGCGAATAAAGGAGGAAGCGCGCACCGCGGCCGCCGCGGCGAGCGGCGACGCCGCGACGCCCGCGAAGAAGAAGAAGAAGAAGGAGGAGAAGCCGTCGGCGAAGAAGAACGACGACGAGGAGGAGCTCGACGACGTCGCCGCTGCGGCCGCCGCCGCCGCCGCCGCCGCCGCCGCCGCCGCCGCCGCCGCCGACGACGACGAGCCGACGACGGCCGCGACCGCGGCGCCCACGGGGAAATCCAAGGCCGAGGGCTGGCAGATGGACTACAACAACTACCCCACCTCCGGCATGGGCGCGGTCGTAGACGGCGTCGACCTCGACCGCGGCGCGGACGTCAGCGCGTGGCTGCAGTTTGACCTCCACTCGAAACTGTTGCGCGCGCTACAAGAGCTCGGGTTCACGACGCCGACGCCGATTCAATCAGAGTGCCTGAACCCCGCGGTGAAAGGGCGGTGCGACGTCATCGGCGCCGCGGAGACGGGCTCCGGGAAGACGCTCGCGTTCGGGCTGCCGATTCTGCATCGGCTGCTGACGCAGCGCGACGAGGAGGCGGAGGAGGGCAGCGACTCGGAATCCGTCGACGGCGACGGCGACGGCGGCGGCGACGGCGACGGCGACGACGCGGACCCCGACGACCCGTTCGCGAACATCGAGGACGAGCGCGGGAGGAGAGGCAGCGCCGCGGGGATGAAGCTCGACCGCAGAAGGAAAGCGTTGCGCGCGCTCATCGTCGCCCCGACGCGCGAGCTCGCGATGCAGGTGTGCGAGATGCTGAAACAGGTGGCGAAATACTCCGGCGTCGACGTCGTCCCCGTCGTCGGCGGGATGAGCCTCCAGAAGCAAGAGCGACTGCTGAAACGCCGCCCGGAGATCGTCGTCGCTACCCCCGGGCGGTTGTGGGAGCTCATGCACCAGCACGGGCACGAGCACTTCGTGGACTTGGGGCGGCTCTCGTTTTTAGTCCTCGACGAGGCGGACAGGATGGTCGAACGCGGGCACTTCGCGGAGCTCGCGAACATCATCGACACGTTGCCGATGCCGCCGCGGATCAAGCGCCCCCCCGGCGCGGCGAAGGCGACGCCGGAGACGCTCAAGATCACGAAGAAGCGCGGCGCTCCGGGCGCCGGGGACGACGCGACGAAGCCCGCGGGGAAGCGCGGCGGGCGGGGGCAAAAGGGCGGCAACGCGGCGCCAGAGGACGCCGACGTCGTCCACCTCCCGGAGGAGCGCGCGCGCGAGGAAATCTCCCTTCGGCCGTCGCAGATGCTGGATCGACAGACGTTCGTGTTCTCCGCGACGCTCACGGTGCCGGACAACGTGCGGAGGAAGCTGAAGAAGACCCACGCGATGGCGTTCGTCGGCGGCAGCGGAGATGGCGGCGGCGGCGGCGGCGGCGGCGACGCCGCCGCGAAGAAGAAGAGAGCCGACGCCGCCAAGGGAGGAAAGGACGCGGGGTCGCTCGCGGCGCTGATGGAGGCGGTGCCGTTCTACGGGCGCGTCAAGCTCGTTGACTTGACGGATCAGGCGAAGACAGTCGCGAAGAGCGTCGTGGAGAGCTCGCTCGAGTGCACGGAGGTGAGGACTGACTCGGGTCGACTTCGGTCGACTCGACTTGACTCGATTTTTACGTCTCTCTGTCTTTGTTTTTTTTCCTTTCCCTCTTCGAGCGTCGTCGAGCATCGAGCGGCGGTGATTATACCTGGTCTTCTGACTTAAACTATCGTGTGGAAACCTGCCATCTCAAACGCTACGAGCCTCATATGAGCCGCTCGATGCTCGACGCGTCGTCGCGCGCCGCGCGCGCCCCCCTCGGACGCCCTCCGCGACTGACTTTGACCTCGACCCCTCCTCCCCTCCCCCCCCGAACGACTCGCTCGCGCAGGACGAACGCGACGCGCTCCTGTACCACATCCTCGCGCAGCAGCCCGGCCTCGTCATCGTGTTCGTGAACGCCATCTCCGCCCTGCGAAGACTCGTCTCCATCCTGAAGCTCTTAAAGCTCCCCGTGGAGGCGTTGCACGGCAACATGCAGCAGCGCGCTCGGCTCAAATACCTCGACCGGTTCAAAGACAAAACCCGGACGCAGACGTCCATCCTCGTCGCCACGGACGTCGCCGCGCGCGGATTAGACGTCAAGGGCGTGGACCTCGTCGTGCACTACCAAGTACCCCTCAGCGCGGACACGTACGTCCATCGAAGCGGGCGCACGGGAAGAGCGCACGCGGAGGGCGCGTCCGTGTGCCTCGTCACGCCCGCCGAGAGGAACCGGTGCGAGACTGCTCCCCGTACGACCGCGTTCGCGTGGTGCACGCCGTTCCTTAAGTACTTTTCCCGTCGTCACTCTTCTCCCGCGCTTCCCTTTCAACGTTTGACCGGTAAGACGTTCAACTGACCGATCGCTTCACCCCACAGGTACCGCGCGCTTCTCCGCGCGATGAACCGCGCCGCGCCTCTCCCCGCGTTCCCCACGAACGAGGTCGCGGTCGCGGAGGCGAAGCGGCGGCTGAGCGTCGCGAAGCGCCTGGACAAGCTCGTCCACTCGCGATCGAAAGAGCGCGCGGAGGCGGAGTGGCGGCGGGTCAACGCGGCGGAGATCGGCGTCGAGCTCGACTCGGACGAGGACGACGACGCCGCGGTGATGACGTTCGACGCCGCGGGGAAGATCGCCAAGGTTAAGGCGAAGGAGCGCGCGCGCAGGATCGCGCGCGGGGAGGATGGGGACGAGGTGAACGCCGCCGACGACGACGACAGCGAGAGCGACGGGATGAACGATCTGAGAGTCGCCGGGATGGACGTGGACGACCAGACGAGTCACGCGAAGTTCGGCGAGAGACTTCGCGCGGACAGAGAGGAGGCTCGGCTGCGACGCGAGCTCGAGTCGATGCTCGAGACGTCGCTCGGGACGAACGCCGCGCGGAGGCAGGGGATCGGGAGCGCGAAGTATCCGAGCCGTGGGGACGGCGGCGCGAAGCTGGCGGCCGCGGCGGCGGCCAAGTCGGAGAAGCGCGCGCGCGGCGGCGGGGGCGGCGACGACGACGTCGTCGGCGGCGACGGGTCCGAGGGCGTGACCGCGGTGCGGATGCTCAAGGGCGGGAAGCACAGCGCGGCGGCGGCGAGAGGCGCCGCGCCGGGGGGCGCCGCGGGGAAGCACAAGAAGAAGAAGCCCAGGCTCGTCGTCGTCGGCAAGTAATAGACTCTATAAGATAGTCTACGTAATGATCTGACATCCACGACGAGTTCGATTCCTTTCGCGCCGTTCCGCCGCCGTCCGTCGTCGTCGCTCACTACTCGTCATCATACTACTGTACTACTACTAACACGCCAGCGGAAAACACAGCGCGTTCGACGCCGCGCCGCTCGCGTCGTACAACATCACCTCGAGCACCGCGACGCGCGTCGCGTCCACGCCGTGCGTCGCGCACCACCCCCGCAGAGGTTCGTCCCCGCTCGCGTCGAACACGTGCTCCGCGGCGGCGACGCTCGCGGCGGTCGGGTACGTCGCCTCGAGGAGGTGCCGCAAAACGCCCATCAAACGTGCGTTACTCCCCACGCGCTCCGCGCGGGATAAGTGCGCGAGGACCGTGCTCGGGTCGTTCCTCGACCAGCTGTGCGAGGACTTCAGGACGAGGTTGAAGATCCGGCCGCCCGCGTGCTTTCCGACGGCGAGGTTGAGGTGGACGAGCTTGGTCTCCGTCGCCGCGTCCAAGACGCCGCGGCGCAGCGAGCGGAGGAGCGTCGCGAGCTCGACGTGCCCGGCGCGCGCGGCGTGCGCGCGCGCGAGCTCGCGCGCGGCGGCGTCGTCGTCGTCGTCGGAGGAGGACGACGACGGCGCGTCCTCCGCGTCCGCGCCGCGGCACCGCTTCGTCGCGCGATCGCGCGAGAGAAGCTCGGGGGTCGCGCTCGCGAGGTTGCGCGACGCGTGCACGCGCGCGAGGTCGACCTCCGAGAGCGGCGACGGCGCGGCGTTCGCGACGGCGTGGAGGTCCATGCTCCGGCGTTTGAGCGACATCTGCGCTCGCGCGGCGTGGCGTCGTCGCGCGGCGGGGAGTGGCGGCCGTCCATTCGTCGTCCCCATTTTTCTTGGCGGGAAGGCGGGAAAAGTTTCTTTTTGGGATTCTGTTTGGGAGAAAAAGTGTTTCCTTCTCACACCCCCCTCCTCCTCCGCCGGTTCTCCGGGTCCCCCCGGACGCGCGCGACGGCGCCGTCGACGCGCCGCTCGACGCCCAGACCCCGCGGCGCGCCGCGCGGGTGCTCAAAACGGCAAAAATCGTTCAAGTCCGTCTCCTTAACCGCTCGGACAAACGTGCTGTTTCGGCGGTGAGGAGGGAGAACGAGACGTCCTCCACCCTCCGCCGCGCTCTCTCTCTCGATGAATCGAGAGAGTTTAATCGCACGCTGCAGGATTTGAACCTACGCAGGCATTGCCTAACGGATCACTTGAAAGCTGTATGAGCTAATAGACTGTCAAACTGTGAGAAATGACAAATATATACGTGTACGCGTTCTACGCGCTTTCGGCGCTACGCCTTCGCCGAAGTGCCCACCCGTTCGCCGCGCCGATCGCGCCGTCCACAACACGCCGCGCCGCGCAAACCCTCGCTCGAAGCGTAGGGTTCGCTCGCGGGAAGGCTCGACGCACGGGACGGCACCATGGCGGTGCGTGATCTCCCTCGCGCGCCCAAATCTCACGCGCACGCCCCGCGCGAGGACGACGACCTCTTTCAAAACATCCATCATCATCCATCCATCGTCTCTGACGATCGTTCGATCTCGCCGCCGTCCCTCTCCCCCAACCTCTCGCGCGCGTCCAGACCTCGGAGGTGAACTGGGAAGACCAGCAGCACATCTGCGCGTTCGGTCGATTCAACACCCGCCTGCACGAGGTGAACGCGGAGCTCCGCGCGAAGTCGGTGCGACCGGCCGTCCCTCCTCTCGTTTCGTCGTGTTTGTTGACCGCGCGCGCGCGCCTCCGATCGTTCGTTCGTTCGTTCGTTCGTTCGTTCGTTCAATCTGACGCGCCGTCTCGCGCCCGCTCGTCGTTCATTCCCTCTCTTCTCTCCTCCACAGAAAATGGCGGAGGACCTGGAAGAAGCGTCCAACGAGCTCATCATCACGGACGACGACGCGGTGCAGTACTCCGTCGGGGAGACGTTCATCGCGGTGGACAACGACACCGCGGAAACGATGTTGGAGAAGGCGGCGGATGAGGTGCGTTCTATACACTGGTCCCCATTCGACCGCGTTCGCGTGGTGAACGCCGATCCTTAAGGACTTTTCCCGTCGTCTCTCTCCGTCCATCCCTCGGTTTCAACGCCCGCCCTCGACGCCTTTCAACTCCGCTTCTGACGCCTTTCAACTCCACCCCGACATTCGCTTGTATGGAACGACCCTAAGACGAGAGAGGAGGTCGCCAAGCTGGAGAAGGAGAGAGACGAGCTGAAGAGCGCGATGGCGGAGCTCAAGACGAAGCTGTACGGGAAGTTCGGTAACTCGATCAACCTCGAGGAGGATTGAGATTGAGATCGACGACGCGGAACAACTGTAGTCGCGAGCGGCGAGATCGGACGGATGAACTCGTAAGCTTACATATTATCATAACTCGCCGACGCCGCGAAACTTTTTGCACGTGTCGTGGCAGCTCGTCGCCATGTAGCTCAGACAGATCTTGAAGTTCGTGGACCCGTCATCCCCGGACGCCGGGAACGCGCGGTCGCACGCGTTCCCGAACGCCACCTGGCACGCTTCCCTGCACGCGTGCTTCTTGTCGTCCGCGTCTTGCACACACCGCGTCTGGCAATCCTTCACCCCCGTGAACTCGGCGCAGACGTCCACGCACGTGTTCTTCTCGTTCGCCCTCGCCGCCGCGGTGACTCGGCTCGACCCGGGCTCGGGGAGGTCGCACTGGCGCGCGTAGCGCGTCCGAGCGTCGAGCCCGAACCCGCCGCCCTCTTCGTCCGTCATCCCGTTATCTCTCTGCGGTCGTCGCGACGAGGGAGATCGTTTGGAAAAGGCGTCAGTAACTAACATCAGTCGTCGCGCGCTCGAAGAGATCCGTCCGATCGTTCGCGTCGAGCGGCGAGCGGGCGAACGCTCGAGCGCTCGAGCGCGTCCGCGCGCGCGCGGCGCGCGTCGTCTCGTCTCTCACCTTCCACCTGCTCGCCGCCGTCGCCGTCCTCTCGCCGTAGTACCCCGTCGCCTCCTCCTGAAGGTACCCTTTCCTCGCGAAGAATCGCTGCAGGCAGTGCACGTCGCCGCCGTACGACCCGTTGCCGAGGTCGCGCGCGAGGTAGCACGCGTCCCCGGTTCCCGTGGACATCTTCGCGTTCGTCTGCGGCGGTGATCGATCGCGGAGCTACGCCAGCCCGCGGGGTTGATGATCGCGCGGGGTGCGAGCCCGGCGGTGACAGTCGAGAGGCGCGCGCGTCGACAATGCGGTGGCAGTGGGCGCGAAAAAATTAACAGACGGACGACGACGAGCGCGCATTTTTTTACAGTATTCGCGTACGAGAAGCACGACGACGACCGAACGACGCGATCCCCACGAACGTTCACGTCAACGCGCGACGGTTTGATAACACGTACACACCTACAACGCCCCGCCGCAGTGACAGCAGAACTTCATCTCTACCCCCGGGATCAGCTCCTTCCCGCAGCTCGACCTCGGGCACACTCTCGGCGCGGGCAGCGGCGGCGGCGGCGCGCCCGTCGCGCCCGCGCCCACGGCGCTCTCGCTCGGCTCCACATCCGGCTGTCCCCGCTTCTTCGTTAACCCCGTCCCCCCTCTCCCGCCGCTGCCGCCACCGCCAGCCTTCGCCGTCGCCGCGGCTAAGATCGAGGCCCCCGTCCGTCGACAGGCGGGCTGATGCGACGGCACCATCATCGCGCGCTTCAACTCGCGTCGCTCGCTCTCCTCCTTGCGGCGCCTCTCCTGCACCTCCCTCTCCGCGGTCGCCCACTCCATCGGCGGCGGCTGCGAGCTCGCCGCGCTGCGACTGCGCGTGCTCTGCGTCGCGGCGAGCTCGCCCGCGAGCGCGAGCTCGAGGTTCCCCGTGGACGCGCCCGCGGCGGCGAGGCCGCCGCCGCCGCCGTCGCCGCCGCTCGCGGGGACGCCCGCGACGTCCGCCGCCGCTCTCAGCGCGGCCGCGATCGGGTCGCGGCCGGCGACGACGTCCGCGGCCGCGCGAAGCAGCGCGGTCGTCAGCGGCTGGTCGACTCTGCCGCTGTCGCGCTCGGAGCGCTGCGACGACGGCGCGCTGCCGCCACCGCCGCCGCCGCCGCCAGACTGCTCCCCGTACGACGCGCCGCCGTCCGCGTCGTCCGTCGCCTGGCGCGTCACGAGCGCGTCGAGGACGTGCACGAAGTCGCGCGGCGGCGCGCGCGAGACCCCGAATCCGTCGAACGGCGGGCCGTACCCGCGCGCGGCGGCGGCGGCGGCCGCGCCGGCGGAGGACGGCGACGACGCCGGCGCCGCCGCGGACGGCGACCCCGACGTCTCTTGGCTCAGACGCACGCTTCTTCGCCGCGCGCGCCGTCCCGCGCCGCGGGACCCGTCGCCGGCGCCGCCGTCCATCGCCGCCGCGACCGCCGCCGCGGCGGACATCGACGGCAGCACCTCCATCCCGGCGATGGACTTCAACACGTGCTCCGTGGACGCCGCGGCGTCCGCGTCGTCGTCCGCGCCTCTCCGCGCGCGTTTTTTATCTCCGCTCGCGGCGCTCGGTCCCTCGCGCCCCGCCGCCGCGGATCCGCCGTGCGCGTACAGCGACGCGCGGCGCAGCAGCAGCGGCACGGACGCGAGCGCGACGGCGGCGAACCCGCCGACGCCGTCCGCGTGCAGAAGCAGAATCGGTCCGTTCGCGTGCGGCGGCGGCGGGAGCCGCGGCGGCGATACTTTTTTCCCCTTCCCCTTACCCGCGTCGCCGGCGCCGCCGCCGCCGACGACGAGCGGCACGCGGACGAGGAACGCGGGCGCCTGCGCCGGCGCCGACGCCTTCGTCGCGGCCGTCCACGCGGCGAACACCGCGTCCCGCGCGCTGATCGCGCGCCGCGTCGCTTCGGATTCTCCACCCCCCCCGCCGCCGCCGCCGCCGCGTCGCTCCGCCGCGAATCGAAGCGGCGGCGGCGCCGCGACGTGCGACGGCGGCACCACCTCTAACCGCACGACCTCGAGGACGGTCATGTCGCCGCTCAGCGCGAACGTCGCCGCCGCCGGCACCGTCGCCGACCCCGACGCCGCGGCGGACGTCGACGCGACCGCGTCGTCGGACCCGACCGCGCGCGCGCGGCGCTCCGCGTTTGTCGCGTCGGAGAGGCACACGTCCGGGAACGTCACCGCGCCGCCGCCGCCGCCGTCTGCGTCGCCCGTCGGCACGACGAGCCGCCCGCGCCATCGCACGCCGGGATCAACCAGCGGCGCGCGCCCCGCGGACGGCATCGCGCGGCACGTCGCGCCCAATCGCGCGGCGACCGCGGCGACGACGGGCGGAACGGCGACGGCGCGTCCCGCCGGCGGGCGTTTCGATTTGCTCTGTCCCGCGCCGCCGCCGCTCGCCGCCGCCGCCGCGCGGCACGGGAGAACGATCACGGAGACGCGCCCGCCCGCGTCGCGCGCGGCTTTGAGGACGCCGTACGCGGCGACCGCCTCCGAGGGCCATTCGGATCCGCCGCCGCCGCTATTGGGCTCGCCGTCTTCTTCGCCGACGCCGGCGGTGATCCATATCGCGTCCAACAGCCCGCCGGCGCGTTCGCCGCCGTTCCGTCGCACGAGCGACAGCGCGCTCGCCGCCGCGACCGCGGGCGTCGTCGCCGCCTCCGACGCCGCGTCGCTCGACGCGGACGCCGCGGCGGTCGTCATCGCCGCGAGCGCCGCCGCCGCGTCTCGCGCGTCCATCCATCCGATCGGCGACCGCGCCGTCGCCGTCGCCGTCGTCGTCGCGTCGTCGTCCCCCCCCGCGCCGCCGCCGCCGCCGCCGTCTTCTTCGTCGCCTCCCCCGCCGCGCGATTCGACGCGCGAGGGGGTGGGCGCGCGCACGCCCGGCCACCAGCTCGCGCACGCGAACGACGTCCTCGGCGCCGCGAGGCTGAGCGTTCCCCAACCGTCGTCGTCCGCGACCGCGATCGCGCCGCACGTCTCGCGGAGCCGCGCGAGCGCGTCGATCAGCGATCGCGACGTGTGCTCCGCGTGTAACGCCGCCTGCGGGGGTGATTTGCGACGCGATGGGAAGCGCGATTGTCGGCGAGAGGAGGAGAGCGAGGCGGGGGAGAGGCGCGAGATCGGGCCGGGGGAGGCGGGGTGCCGCGTTTCGCGGGAAAACGCGATTGCGCGGCGTTCGACGCGCGAGTCGCGGCGACGCGCACCACGTCGACGCCGCGCAGGCCTCCCAGGTCCTCCTCCGCGCCGCCGTGCGCGCCTCGCCGGCACGGACCGAGCAGCGCGAGGACGCGCCGCTCCGCCATCGCGACGAGCGAGCGCGCGTGAAGGTGTGGAGAGCGACGAGCACAGCTTGCAGGAAAACAGGCGGGAAGAAAATCAGAGCGGCGAGGGAGAGGGTGCCAGGTTTTTCGAGCTACGAGGGGTGCCACTTTCTCCCGCGCCGCCGCACGACGCGCGAACGCCGCGATGCCGAAGGTCAAGTACCCGCGGAAGATCCGCGAGCTCGTGAAGAAGGCGAACGCCGGCTGCGGAGAGGCGGCGTGGGCGATCGCCAGGCACTACGACAACGGGTCCGGCGGCGTGGAGAAAAACGAGGCGCTCGACGTTCAGTGGACCGAAAAAAGCGCAGCGTTGGGATATTCCCTTGCACAGCTAGTGCTCGGCGTGCGCATGCGTGATAAAGGCGACTATACCAGCGCACGTGCGTGGTTCGAGAAATCCGCGGCGGGGGGGGTTGAAGGCGTAGCAGAGTTTGCACTCGGTTCCCTCTACTACGAAGGCCAGGGCGTCGAGAAAAACCCTGCGACGGCGATAGAGTGGTGGCGCGCTGGCGCGTTGAAAGGGGGAGTTCACGCCCAGTACAACCTTGGAGCGGTTCTTTCAGATTATTTGCACGAATACACTGATGCGGTGTTGTGGCTCGAGAAAGCCGCGGCGCAGGGCTTTGTAGATGCAATGGACCGCGTTGGGAATCTCTACTTCTGCGGCGACGGCGTGGAGCGAAATGCACGTACGGCGATGATATGGTGGTTGAAAGCAAGCAGGGGGGGGAGTGTCATGGCAAAGGAGAACCTGCTTAAAAAGTTCCGACATGGCGACTTCATCGGAATTGAGTCTGCTTATGTGCTCCACGAGAATTTGTTTGTCGAATTAGCAGAATACGGCGACGAAGATTCTGTGCAAAGACTTAACCGGCTACGAAAGAATAAAAGAGGGACTCTCCTCGTAACCGCGAAACGCACCGGGTTGGAGCTGAGCGAAGACGCCGTGGAGCGCTTCGTTTCTGGACCACTTCCCGAACATGAAGCTAAGAATACCTTCCATCACCTCGCCCTTTGCTTTCTCCACGGGAGGTGTGGACTCGAGAAGAACCTTCGAATGGCGAAGGAGGTGTTCAAAGAGTGCGAAATTTACGACCCGGACAACGCCGCCGTCGCCGAGGAGCTCGTGAAGCTTCGTTCCTGCGTCACCTGCGGCAAAACCGACGCTCGCTGGGGTTGCAAGCTGTGCCGCGGCGTGCGGTACTGCAACAAGCGGTGCCAACAGAGGGACTGGAACCGCGGTGAACCGCCGCACAAGGAGACGTGCTCGCGCGTCGTGCACATGTATCCTCCCGGGCATTTCGCTGACCTCCGCACATACTGGTACCACGCGAAGAAGAGAGGAGAGTCAGCCTGAACCACGAACGATGCGCGACGACTGTGACGAGCGAGCGAGCGAGCGAACGAACGAACAAACGAACGCATTTGTAAGACTCGAATTTCAGAATCCAACTCCAAAACGTTTCCTAATATCCCTTCCCTCCCCCGCGCGCGTCCGCGTTCACCCGTGGTGCGAAAAAAACTCAAAGTCCGGATGAATCACGTTCAACTTTCGCAGCCACCCGCGCGCGCCGTCGTTCATGAGCGTCAACCAATCCGCAACCTCTGCCGCGTGCCACTGCTCCCCCCGCAGCTTATAATGACTCATCCCGAACGCGCGCAGCCGCGTCCGGTCGCGAGCGATCGGGTCCGCGGCGGCGAGCTTCTGCAGACGCGACGCCACCGCGGCTTCGCCGAGCGTCGACGTCGGCGGCGGCGCCGGGCACCCCCCCGCGCGCGTCCACGCCTCGCTCCTCCCTCCTCCGCCGCCGTCGCCGCCGTCTCCCCCTCCTCCCCCACCACCCTCTCTACCCCCCCCTCCACCCTCCGCGGTCGACAGCGCGTGATACGTCAGGAAACACGCGGACAAGTCGCGCAGGGACCGTCCGACCGGGATGCGATAGATGGGATACCACGCGATGGACATCCAGCTCGCCGGGTGCGTCTCCTCGCTGCGCGTCGTCCACAGCTCCGGCGCGTCCCGCGCGAGGCGAGCGACGACGTCGGACAGCGGCGCGCGGCTGTACGGCGAGTCGCGCTCGAAGAACGAGAAGACGAGCTCGCGGCCGGGGACGACGTCGCCGGTCTTGGACATCGACGACCGCGGGGGGTCGCCGTCGCCGTCGTCGTCGGCGGCGTCTTTCGTTTTTCCTCTCTCCGACTTCTCTTTCCTTCCCTCCTCGCCGCTCGTCCCCTCGTCGTCCTCGCCCGTCGCGCGGAAGATCTGCAGCCCGGACAGGAACGGGACGTAGTACTGCGACACCTCGTCCTCCTCGTCGTCCAGCGTCAGCGGCACCTCCGCGCCGTACGCGCTCCACTCGTCGTAGCTCTCCCACAGATCTCTCAGCGCGAAGTGCCTCGCCTCGCCGTCGCCGTCGTCGCCGTCGCCGCTCGCGTCGGGCTTCTCGCCGCTCGCGGCGTCGCCCCTCCGCGCGCGGCTCGTCGGGACGAGCGGCACGGTGGACACCGCGAACGACTCCACGTTCGCGAGCGAGTCCAGGTAGTGCGGCTCCAAGCCCTCGGCGCTGAGCGGGGACCTCCCGGGCGTCGACGGCGTCGACATCGCTTCGTTCGTTCGAACGAATCTGATGAATCTCTATCCTTCGTCGCGCGATCCCTTCGCGCGCGCCTCCGCGCCGTGGCGTCCTCCGCGAGTCGCGCCCGCGTGAACTTCGCGCGGCGCCTTCTCGCGCGCGCACCGCGCGTCCCCTCGTCGCGCGTTCGCCAGCCCCGCGCGGCTCACCCCCGCGGCGGTCGCTCTGCCGCTCGGGCCGACGCCGCGCGAGGATATCGCGCAGATCTTTTCGAGATCGTCGGTCGGTCGGCCGGTCGGTCATCACGCAGCCGACGAAATACGCTTTTAGAGGCGCGTCGTCTCCCGACGCGCGCGCATCGCCCGGGCGCGCGCGGCACGCCCCCCACCCCCTCCCGCGCGACCGCCGTCCCTTCCGTCCTTCCCCCCGCCCGCCCGGCCCGCCGCTGCCGCCGCCATGGGCGCGATGAAGAAGACCAGCAGCAAGTTCAACAAGTCGGAGGTGTTGAAGCTGAAGGAGGTGTTCGACGAGGCGGACAAGGACGGCAGCGGCGAGATCGACACCGCGGAGCTCGCGCAGTCGCTGCAGAAGACGAACCTGGGCGAGGCCGCGGCGGACATGTTCCGCGCGATCGATAAGGACGGGACGAAGTCGCTGGACTTCTCCGAGTACCTCAAGGTGCGACCTCGAGCGCGGGACCGACGCGTCGAGAGCGCCCACGAATTAAATTACATTCGTTCGTCGCGTCCTCGCCGCCGACCGTGACCACCCCCTTCCTTCCTTCCTTCCTTCCTTCCTCCCCTCGCGCCGCCTCCCTCCCGCGCAGGTGTACTATCGCTTCGCGACGACGGACGACATCCGCGAGATGATGTCGTGGGCGTACCCCGCGAAGGAGGAGAAAAAAGCGGTCGCGAAGACGCTCACCGCGGAGCAGCGCGCGGAGGTGCGTTCTATACACTGGTCCCCATACGACCGCGTTGGCGTGGTGAACGCCGATCCTTAAGGACTTTGCCCGGCGCATCTCTCCGCCCACCCCCCGCTTTCAATCCCCGTCCTCGGCGCCTTTCAACGCCAACTGACGCCTTTCAACTCCACCCCGACTTCGCTTTGTATGGAACGACCCTGAGATCAAATCCATCTTCGTGCTGTACGACGCCAACAACAACGGGACGCTGTGCAAGAAGGAGCTCACGGAGGCGCTGACGGCGACGGGGTACGACGACGAGGAGGTGGAGGACATGTTCGAGGACTTCGACGAGGACGGCAGCGGGGAGATCGACTTCGAGGAGTTTTGTAAGATGCTCGAGAGCTCGTATTTGGACTGACGATTGAGGTGCGTTCTATACAAGCGAACGTCGGGGTGGAGTTGAAAGGCGTCAGTTGGAGTTGAAAGGCGTCGATGGCGGGGATTGAAAGCGAGGGATGAGCGGAGAGATGCGCCGGGCAAAGTCCTTAAGGAACGGCGTTCACCTCGCGAACGCGGTCGTATGGGAACCAGTGTTTAGAACGCACCTGACGATTGAGAGAGCGCGGCTGGGAGAGGGAACGACGAGATAGATGTTAACTCGCCCTGCGGGCGTCGCGTTGTATCACGCGTTGAGTCCAGTCGACGCGCGCGTCCGCGACGCGCGTTCGCTCGCGCGTCGCGCGAACATCGCGGCGTAGACCGAATCGTCGCGCGACCGTCGGTCTCCTCCGGCGTGTCGCGCGCGACCGAAGCGCGCCGACGACGCCGCCGACGCGACGTCCCTACACCAGTCTGCTGTGCACAGAAATGGCGATCGATCGGCGGACGCGGACGAAACCGGTCACCGGTATTTTTCCCGGCTCGCGCATCCCTCGCGCTTCCGCTCCGGACGACACAACGCGCGCGCGCTGGCGAGCGACGCGCCCGGTAGTGACCTTCGCGAGCGACCGACGACCGCGTCCGCGAGCGCGCGAGCGAAGACGCCCGCGCGGTGACGTCTCGCTCGACGTTTTCCGGCCGGCGTCGCGTCGCGCGCGTTTAACAAAATTCCACACGCGTCCGCGTCCCGAGTCGGCGAGGGGCGGCAACGCGCGGACGCGGACGGGGTGTTCCCCGTCGACGACCGAACGCGCCGGCGGGGACCGATCGGCGGCGGCGAGCGAGAGGAGCGCGTCCGGCGAGCGCGCGGAGCGGAGTCGGGGACGGGCGCGAGGACGGGCGCGGCGGCGGGCGTCATGGCGACGGAGTCCGCGCCCGAGGAGGTGCACGCGGAGGTGCACGACAGCGGGCCGTCGGACGTCGCGCTGGACGCGCCGGAGCTGAGGGCGAAGGAGGTTCGGTGGCACGACGATCACGGGAAGGATCTGACCGCCGTGAGGGAGTTCGAGCCGAGGTGCGTCGGGACGCGACGCGCGCGCGCGCGCGCCGCGCGTCGCCCCCGCCGCGGCCGCGTCGATGCCGCATCGGGCACGGCGCTCGCGCTCCACCTCGCGCGCTCGCTTTTTTCATCCCCCGCCCTCGACCCTCGCGCGCGCGCCGACTCCCCGTCCCCGTCGCGTCGTCTGACCGCACTCTCCCCGCCTCGACCGCAGTGAGCTGAGCGACTCGGACGACGAGGGTGGGGCGCGACATAAGCCCTCGAGCAACGGATGTTGCGCGATACAGTAGAGCTTAGGGGCGAGGCGAGGCGAGGAGGATTCCACCCTAATCCGAGGAGGGTTTTTCCTCGCGTCGCGCCCGTCTCGGCGTCGAGGGCGAACCCCGCGCTGGATCGCGCGTTGTAAGAAAACTAAGCTATTAGTATTTATCATCCACCGCGCCCGCTGTCGCGTCGTCGTCGCTTCGCGCGCTCGGCGAACGCGCGCTCGGCGTCGGCCACCGCCGCCGCCGCCGCCGCGGCTTCCTCCGCCGTCGCCGGCGCCGCCGACCCGACCACCGGGCCCGGCGATAACACGCCGACGACCTCGTCCGTCTGCCGCTCGATCTCCCTGAACCGCGCGAGGACGCGCGCGGGGGCGCCGGAGACCGGGCCGCCGCGCGCGATCTTGGCCGCGGTCTTGAGCGCCGCGGCGACGGCGTCGCCGAGCGCCGCGCGCGACGTCATCTATCTCGAAGACGCCCGCCGACGGACCAGACCGAGGAAAAAAAAAAACCTCTCACTCACCCGACCTCTATCGGGACGCGGACCCTCCTCGCGCCGGATATCCCCGGGACGTCCTTCGTCGCGTACTTATCGCTCTCCACGCTCCCGTCCAGACGCAGTCGGACGTACCACCCGTCGTCGCGCCGCTCGACGTCGTGCACGCGCTGGCGGACGCCCACGGATTTGGTCCCGTCCGGCACCAGTGCGCCCTTCTCCGGATCCCACGTCGTGGCGCCGTAGAGCTTCTCCCCGGTCTCGAGCTCGATCTTGTACAAGTGCCACGGGCACGAGACGCACGCTCTGCCGTCGACGTCCTCGATCTCGCCCACCGCGAGCGGGCCGCCGGCGTGGTAGCACAGCGAGTCGAGCGCGTGGACGTCTCCGCGCCAGTTGATCAGCGACACGTGTCTGCCGCCGAGGTGGACGTGCGATCGCGCGCCGTGCGCGGAGAGCTCGGCGAGCTCCGCGACTTTGACGAACGGTCGCGGGCCGTCCGGGGTGATCGGGTCCGCCGTGGTGTGTGGGGAGTGGGGATGGAGCGCGCGTCGCGCGAGGACGACGCGACCGCGCGAGGGCGAGTGCGTCGGGGCGAACGCGCGCACGCCAACTGAGAGGTCGCGGTCGTGTCATGTCAGCACGTTTCGGCGCGAAACTTGGCAACCCTACGAGTGGTCTCGTCGTCCTCGTCCTCCGCACTTCTCGCCGCGCACCGCGCGCGGCGTGTCGTTTCCCCCGGTCGCGAGAACCTCACGCGCGCGTGGAAGACGATCGACGGTCGCTCGTTCGACCGCGCGGCGCACGCGCGAGCGTCGGACCGACCCAGATCTGAGGGACACGTTTAAAAACACTTTCTGTCGGACTCTCGCGCACCCGATCGCGGCATGAAGGACGCTGGCAACATCTTGCGCGAGATCCTGCGCGAGGCGGACGGCGCGCTTCCCGCCGCGCACCACAAGGACGTCATCGAGCTCTGGAATTCGTGCGACGCGCTCGAGCTCCTGCTGCGAGAGCTACGGAGTGGATGCTCGCAAGCGGCGGGATTTCTCGGGATCGAGCTTCCGCCGGGGACGGGGCCGGGGACGGGGACGGGGACGGGGACGGGG